TAAGCCAATCCGCCGTTCGATCTCTTCCTCACATTTTTCATCACCAGCAAACAAAACCCTGAGGCGCGCGAACTTCCCCACCTGCTCCGCTGCCTCTCCGTTAATCTTAAGAGAGCAACAGGCAAGACAACGAGAAAACACTAGGCTTTCCATTTTAGATGCGTTCAAACGCATGCCGGTCACGCCCCACTCGGCTGTGAACTTTTCAAGAAAGCGATGTAGATCACTTTCAGAAGATGCTAACAAAACAAGGTCGTCTGAAAACAGCAACTATCTCATCTCTACCTCTTCTTCGGTGATACAGTCATCGCCCGGGTTGCGTCTGACTATTCTATCTATGTACAACACAAACAGGAGTGGGAACAGAACGCAGCATTGGCGAAAACCAGTGCCAACGTTGAAAGGTCTCGACCTAAAGCCAGTTACACTGACGCAGTCCTTGCTACCAACATATAGTGATTGGATGGCCCACATCTACCTGTGATCAATACGAAACTTCTGAAAATTCACACCCGTAACTTATTACGCGGAATCGGGTAAAGGCTTTCTCCAAGTCTACCAGACACATAAACTGATGAGCGAAGTCCCAAGAATTCCCAACAATCTAGCGTAGGGTGAAATCTTGAACGGAAATGCTTCGGCCTGAGCGAAATTCACACTGTGCCTGTCACTCTTGTCGACAAGCTTCCAACCATTCTTTCAGTCAATTCAAATCTCATTTGAAATACAACCGGCCTGAACGCGGATCACAGAATCGAAACACCAGTAAGAAAGATTCAAACCGAAAAGGTGCAGAATTACAGAGCCATGACATTTCGTTGACGGTGGATCAAATATATTTAGTTGGTACTTTGCAGCCTCGAAAATTAGTCCCTGCAATATTCCTCACAGTGAGGAGATATTCAAATTTATGAACGTTAGTTCCCACTGCAAGTATCGTTATCGTGGAACCACATCTGATGTACTGGAATAGCACTGCGCTGTCTGTCTCGTTGGTTCGAAATGGGTAGCGGAGCCG